CCCCTCCCTCCATCTCCTAAATAGTCTTCTTTTGTTTTTTTAGTTTAGTTTAAATTTTTCGGTTATGTAATACATTAAATAAAGGCTTTCACTAAATATCTAAAAAACACATTTTAAAATAAATATATATTATATTGTTAAATTACTACAAAAATCGTACCAAATACCCCTATTATAATATTGGCTCAATATTTCTTGACACTAACAACTTTTAATATATCTTATATATATCTAGAATAGCCTAATTGAATTTAAAATCCTGGCAGCCAACAAAAACCTTTTTTTCTATTTAGGACCACTCTCTGCCTTACCTGGCTGCAACTTGACTTTAGGTTAACTCCTGTTCATATAGGCTATGTTAAAAAATCATGAATTTGTTGAAGGATTGTGGATTCAAACTAATAAAAAAATGAAGAAAAAAAAAGACGAAGAAAGGAAGTAAAATAAACTAAATTATTTAATCTTTTGTTTTTTTTTCTTTTTCTCTTGCATAAATATGCTATGTTAGAAATTTAATTCATTCCAATCAAAATAAAGTTTAAAAAAAAAAAAAAACACAATAAACAAGATATGCATGATACGCTTCTAGTCCCTCCCTTCATAAAAAAACTCCTGACAATAAATCTGAAACATATAGTAAAAAATAATAGAATACCTCACAACAAAATTCAAAATCCAAGCAAAATGTTAACCATTTTGAGTCCCTTTATAAAAATTTCCTGAAAAAGAAAACTAATCAAAAGGTGCATGTACATATTAATCCAATAAGAGAAACATTAGTTTTTGAATTTTTATTTTATTCTTCACCAATTTGCTTCTCAAATGCAAAATCTAAAAGTCCTTTTAAAATTAAAAAATTTGAATTCTATTTTCTTAAAGGTGATTAAACTTCAAAATGCTTGTAATTATTAAAAATCTCCCATGCATCTTCCAATAATTTTTGTATATTTTGTTTTACTGTTGACTCCATCAATATTTGGGTGTGCAGTTATATATTGATCCGAGTTCAAGTTGCTGAGCATGTGGAGTATGCTGGATTACCCTCCTACAGTCAACTGGGCAAAACTTATTGTTTCTTCCAATACACGTTAAAAAGAAAAAAAATAAAAAATTTAAATACCAAAACTATTTCAGCTACATGTGTGTCTGTGTGTGCACTGCTGTGACCGTTGTGTGTGTGTGTGGTGTGTGTGAGTGAGTGAATATGTGCATCGACGGTAGTTAATGTCATACTACTCTATCTGGTCCTAGGACTCTGCCTTGATGAGATAGAATTTGTCATGATTTGGAGGCTAGGTGTGCTCAATTTATGTGGGATATACAACTTTGCAGGGGCTATTTTAGTTAATTTATTTATTTTTGTTGGGGGACTTATTATTATGTTTTATCAGCAAAAAACACAGCGAGCTATTTGTTGGGATTCTCATAATCATAATTCTATTTGAAAGAAACATGCGATGAGCATTAGTTTTATAATTAGGCTAGGCTAACTAGCTACGCCAGGAGAACATATCGTCCAGCCACATGTTTAGCTGAGATCAAACATGGAGATGGTAACAAAAATTTATCCCTAAAAAAAAGATACTTGCCATTAAAAACAAATCTTCAGAATGCGCGTTAGTAAATGTGATATATATATATATTATATTATATTCACTATATATCGGGCGAGAAAGATGCTGGGGGCTTGTTGTGTATTTTGGAACCCTGAAGTTTTCATGGTTTAAGAGTGTTTTTGTTGGCAAGCATTTCATAGCCGCTCTTAGCGTATGACTTATGATCTTTTTGAGATGTTGTTGATTTCAAAAACATTTACCACCAAGATGTGATAATAGATGGTAAGTTGTGCGGATTCACTTGTAAGGCATTAAAAATGCATTTTTCAAAACCTTGGTGTGTTGGAGGGGACTTTTAATGAAATTAAAGCCAGGTTATCTGAGAGAAGAGAACTATATACAAAAGAGATTAAGGGGATGAGACAGTTTGATAACTTTAATTGAAAACAAACATAGCGGAATGGATGATTACCAACGGTAGGCGAAGAAGCTTTACCATGGTGCAATTCACTTGATGGAGAGAGCTGGAGTAGGATTGATAGCATTCTTAAATTGATCCATCAGGGGCATAGAGAAAGTTCTAAGTTCCATTGTTGGGTTTGCCTAGGGGATTGTCAGATCATTACCCCTATCATTACTGGGAGGATGATAGGGAATTGGGGTCCTAGCAACCCATTTAGATTCTTGAATTGCTCCTGGACCCTACATCCTAAATTCCTTAAAACAGTTTCTAACAGAAATTCTTGGCGCAAAACCTCAAAGACTGATGGCTAGCGCTACGGTTATAGATGCTGAGGAAACTGAAACTCTTTGAAGAGTGATTAAAAAAAATGAAAGGCGTCACCACTTAACGGATGGCCAGAGGATGAAATTACATGATTTTGATTTCGAGGGCAGAAAAATCAGAGAATTACACCACAGGAGGTGCAAGGAGGGAGGCCGAGGTTCAGAAGTTTGTGTTTGGGAATTTCGGAGAGCGGCGAAAAAAAAAAGAGAAGGCTATAGTTGCAGAAGTCAAGATTTGGACATGAACATTAAATCGCCGAGATAAAAACACAAGGTGTTTTCCATTCTAATGGCTAACAAAAAGATTCACCAAAAAGCTGTGTGGATCACTAGAGGTTGATGGGGTTAGCAGTTGAGGCACCCTTGATCAAGTGAAAACAGGAAGTGTTGAAGGAACATCTTTCTATGCCTTATTCAAAGAAGACTATGCTATTAAGGCCAAGTTATAGGTTCTATTCCAACAGTGAGCAATTAGATTTTGTTGGAGCATACCTTTAATTGAGTCTCTAATAGTGGAAAGTTTGAGAAGTAGTTAACAATTGTATGGAAACAAAGCACCTGGCAAGCATGGGTTTAATTTTGTCATGCATTTAGAAGTGCTGGAAGTTCATGAGGGTTAGGGCTGATTTCAACTTAGTGAAGGAATTTCATTATAATCGATGATTCTGTAGGAGGGCTTGAATTGTTAATTCATACTTTGATTCCTAAAAGGATAGTCCCAATTGTTTGCAGTTTATTGATTATGCCGACTTTAATTTGTGACCTAAAAGAGGTCTTTGACATACTCAAGAGATATCGGCTCCGACTCAACGCCTCGAAGTGCGCCTTTGGAGTTGGATCAGGTAAATTTTTAGGATATCTGGTAACAAGAAAGGGCATTGAAGCCAGCCCAGACCAAATCAAGGCCATCCTGGAACTACAGAGTCCAACATCGGCAAAGCAAGTTCAAGTGCTCACTGGAAGGGCCGCAGCCCTAAACCGATTCATCAGCAGAAGCTCAGACAAGTGCAGACCCTTCTTTAACTTGGTGAAAAAAGCCGCTGACTTCCTATGGACAGAAGAATGTGAAGCTGCCTTAGCCGACCTAAAAAAGTACTTGACCACAACCCCGGTCCTCTCTAACCCAGTTCCAGGAGAGGAATTATTTTTATACTTAGCAGTCTCCGAACACGCAGTCAGTGCAGTGCTAATCCGAGAGGAAAAAGGGGAACAGAAGGCTGTCTATTATGTAAGTAAGACTTTGGCTGACGCAGAATCAAGATACCCACCACTGGAAAAATTAATGCTAGCCTTGGTAATGGCTTCAAAAAAATTGAGCCATTACTTTCAGGCACACAAGATTGTGGTCTTAACAGAGCACCCACTGAAATCCTTGTTGCAACAAGGAGACTTAACAGGAAGAATAGCAAAATGGGCAGTAACCCTGGGGCAGTTTGACCTGGAATTTAGGCCGAGAACAGCAATAAAGGGCCAAGTTTTGGCCGACTTCGTCGCACAACTCACACCTGAAGCCATCGCACATCGGGCTCCGTCGAGGCAAGATGAACATTGTCCCAATAAGCAAAAAGAATCCCAGCAAAAAAAGCAAGAGAAGGAAAAGCTCAGACCCTGTAGCATCTACATCGGAGATTCATTCAGATTGTTCGTCGACGGTAGTTCAAACCGCCAGGGAGCAGGGGCAGGAGTGCTGCTGATATCTCCAGATGGAGAAATAATAGAACAGTCCATCCGTTTGGGGTTCAAAGCCTCAAACAATGAAGCAGAATATGAAGCATTAATTGCAGGGCTAAAGCTGGCAGCAACAGCAGAGGCAGACGAGGTAATTGTTTTTTGTGATTCACAATTAATTGTTAACCAGTCAACAGGAGAATTTACAGCCAGAGACGAAAGAATGTCGGCATATGCAAAGGAAGTCATCCGACTGGCAGCCCTATTCCAGAACTGCAGATTACTCCAAGTCAGCCGAGATGATAACACTCACGCCGACGCGTTAGCCAACCTGGCCAGCTCAATCCAAACTGGAAAAACAAGGACAATTATGATCGACTACATGTCGGCCCCGAGTATAGATAAACAGAGCACCGAACAAGAAACAATGTGCGTGGGCCTTGGACCAAGCTGGATGGATGCAATCATTGCATTCCTAAAAGAGGGGAAGCTGCCAGAAGACCATAAAGAAGCACATAAAATTAGGCTGAAATCGGCCAGATTCAGTCTAACAGCGGAAGGCCATCTCTACAGGAGGTCCTTCACTGGACCACTTTTAAGGTGCGTACACCCTTTGCAGGTTGAAGATTTTCTTTATGAGATTCATGAAGGAATTTGTGGAAGCCATGCTGGGGGCAGATCGTTAGCCCATAGGGCCATTACCCAAGGGTATTGGTGGCCCTACATGCAAAAGGATGCCGAAGCCTATGTAAAGAAGTGCGAGCAATATCAAAGGTTTGCACCTTTGATACATCAGCCAGCTGCCGACCTAAACCCAGTATCCAGCCCTTGGCCATTTGCCAATGGGGCATGGATCTGGTTGGACAACTTCCCCAAGCAACTGGGCAAGGAAAATATTTACTGGTAGCAACAGACTACTTCACAAAATGGATAGAGGCAGAACCTCTTGCCAAAATCCGAGATGTGGATGTCAAGAATTTTATTTGGAGAAACATAATCACCAGATTTGGGATTCCAAGAGCAATAGTTGCCGACAACGGAACACAGTTCGACAGCAAACTTATCAAAAACTTTTGTGCAAAATTCAAGATCAAGAACTATTTCTCAACTCCAAGTTTTCCTCAAAGCAATGGGCAAGCAGAGGCATCCAACAAAGTAATCCTGGATGGAATAAAGAAGAGGCTCCAGGAAGCAAAAGGAAAGTGGGTGGACGAGCTGCCCAACGTACTTTGGGCATATCGGACTACGCCGAGAAGATCAACAGGAGAATCCCCCTTTGCCATGGCCTATGGCACAGAAGCAGTCATCCCATGGGAGATCGGCATCCCAGGGATCAGAACTCAGGGAGTAGAGAATGGCACCAATGACATACTCTTAGCCCGAGACCTGGATTTACTGGAAGAACGAAGAGAGAAGGCTGCAATTCAGCTCGCAGTATACCAGCAACAGCTTGCCAGAGCTTACAACAAGAAAGTCAATCCAAGAGATTTTCAAGTTGGCGACCTAGTCCTAAGAAAAGTCGTCGGAAACAAGAAGGATCCCAGGGAGGGCAAGCTCGGCCCAAACTGGGAAGGACCCTACAGAATCACTTCAGTATTAGGCAATGGAGCATGTCGGCTTGAGGACAATGAGGGCAAAGCATTGCCCAGACCTTGGAATACTTGTAATTTGAAATTTTTCTATCATTAGATAAACATCATTGTTTAGCCGATATCCTCAATAAAGTCTTTTCAGAATCCTTTCAACATGTATGATTGATAAAGTTATGCGTGGATGTTTATTGAAGACGTATCAGACTCAGGCGAAGCTTGGCCGAGATTATTCCTTAATTCACTTGTTGAAATTTGTAGCAATTTACAAGTTGGAATTAAGCTGATTCCTTACCTTCACTTGTTGAAATTTGCAGCAATTTACAAGTTGAAGTTAAGCCGAGATTATTCCTTAATTCACTTGTTAAAGTTTGTAGCAATTTACAAGTTGGAATTAAGCTGATTCCTTATCTTCACTTGTTGAAATTTGTAGCAATTTACAAGTTGAAGTTAAGCCGAGGTTATTGCTTAAGTTTTCATAGCAATATGTGGGTTGTTTAAACCCTAGGGAAGATGCTTAACACTTGTTGAAATTTGTAGCAATTTACAAGTTTATGTTAAGCCGACGTATGATCACCCGCTATGGTATACAGAAAGTTACAGGTTACAATAAGGACTAAGTATATTGTTCATTACTTGTTGAAATTTGTAGCAATCTACAAGTAGGTTAGACTAAGATTACCATTTAGTACTTGTTAAGAATTGAGAAGAAGCTTGCAAAGTTTACATTCCGAAATATATGTTCTATACTTGTTGAAATTTATGAAAAGTTTGTAGGTTAGTATCTTGCCGAAGTAAAAATTTTTATTGTTATATCCGAGATATGTAATCCCGAGAAGATTGCACAAATAAAGCAACATAAGGAAGCATGCAAAAAAATTTTTAAGTACAAGACTATGCAGAAAGCAGTCAGCAGAGCAATCAAAGATTGAAAACATCCGCAGTTGAAACTGTTGCAATTACATATTAAAGGCACATCGGCCATAAGAAGGAAAACACAAAGTCCAGAAAAGAAAAGAAAGGAAAATCAAGACTCTTGAACATCAGCAACAGCAGTAACTGGGACCTCGGACGATTCTGGTGGAATCTCTTCGGCCACTTTTTCTGCTTGGATCTCGGCATCAATCTCTGCTATTGTTGACTCAACACTTCTTTCTATCAAGAGAAGATTGGACGGTAATTGCCCAGCGGCAGTCTCCTCGGGTGCCCTCTCAACCTTATCCCCCTCCTCATCCAAAGTTAAGTCCATAACTTGCTCAGCAGGAGGAAGGGACTTGGCTTCGGCAGCACCCTTGGGTTTTCTCACCAAAGCCTCATCATCATCTTTTTCTTCATCTTCATCCACGGCCTCGGCCTCTGACTCTGATCCACCTTCAGGAGGAGGTGGAGGGAATGGTAAAGGAATAGCGTCGGCCTGGCGCAATGGCTAGTCACAAGCTTCTTTACCAGGGACATCCAACCAAGGGAAAATCCCCTGTTGCATGCCTGCCTGACTTGAAGCTTGTAGTCTTCTGCAACGTCGGCCATGCCTTGAGCATAGGCCTTTTCATCGGCCTCTTTAACTTCGGCCTCCTTGGTGGCTAGAGCTTGTTGAAGTTCTTTTTGCGCTTGGACCTTATGAGCCTCGGCCTCCCTTTTCTCGGCTTCAGCTACTTTTTTAACGGCTTCAGCAGCCTCGGCCTTTTCAAGAGCTAAGGTTTGGTTCTTCGTTGCAGCCTCGGCCTGATCCTCCAGTTTTTTCATTTTTGCTTCAAGGGCCCTTATCTCTCTCTTCATTGAAGATGCTTCCCTCTTCATATCAACCAATATTTGACGATTCTCAAAGGATTGCATTGAAAATGAATGGGCGTGTTGAATAGCCTGAATAAAAACAGAAGTGTCAGAAAATTTTCTCAGAAAGAAACAGAAGGAAAAAACACAAATACAAACAAGAATACTTACTTGAGCAGAGTGTTGGAGCATAAGAGCATAATTTTCGTACTCACTAAGCTTGGCATTTCGCTCCAAATCATTCGGTAGAAGGAGAGCAGTGCTAAGAGCGACAGCAACATTAATGTCGTCAGCACTCTCACTAGCCATAATGGGCCTGTCCTCCAGGGATAGATCAGGGGCCCAGGGGACGTCGGGCTTCTTCGAAGCCGAGGTCGTCGCAGACGATGACCTTGGCCTCTTTGTTTGTGTAGACCCTGAGGGTTGACCCTCAGCAGACCTCTTGGTGGAGACAGAGGCTGATTTCTTGCTTTCTGCCAGCTTTGAAATAGGCACAGTATCCTCAGCCTCGGCATCTGTAGCCTTGGCCTTAGGCTGAGCCTTTTTTACTCTCTTTGGTTTGGGTGGGAGCATTGATTGCGTTGGTGCAGCTTCGGCATCAGTTGGAAGGTCGGCAAGAAGGTCTTGGACGACAGGCCTTGGACGAACCATCTCAGC